CAAGGGACTAATAATAATAATAAATTATTATTATTATATGAATTAAACGATATTTCTCTTCAGGTATACATTAATCACACACTCAAAATAAAAAGGAAGAGTTACATCTCTCCCAATACAATCCGCATCCCCACCAACATCATTGAATGTAAAACTTCCCAACTAATCAATAGATTACTACCCACAAAAATTCCAAAGAGCCTAATGTTTAGTCAAATAGCTTGGTAAAGTAAGTCATGTAGTCATTCTAAAATTTACTAGGAAAAGAAAACACAAGATAATTAATTTCTTCTTCACGTTAAAAATTTTTTCTTTCGTTAGTGATCTATGCAAAGGGCATATCGTTTTTTGTTTTAATCAGCTGGTATACTGAGTGAATCAAATAAATTTCACTAATCAACTACCATACAAAAAAACTGAGATGAACTCAGCAACTACATGCACGTTCATGAAGTAGATAATGAGTCATATGTATTGTGTAAGGATCAAAGAAACTTTTTGGTTGCTTAGACTTCGGTAGGTGGAGTGAGGTTTGAACCAGTAACTCATCCATTTAAATCGAAGAAATTCACTTCATAATGAACCATACCTACTGCTTGAGAGTTAATGATACTATCTGGCTGCCTAAACCTTGACAGATGGATCAGGGTTTGAAGCCGTGACGCATTGGCTGGAAATCAACTCCCCACACTAATGAACCATAGCTCCATGTTCATGTTATTCGCTGGCACATGCATACAAACGTATCTATATAAATAGATCTACTCAGTTAGTTTACCTATACAATGGTCTACATACTCGATTTTCAACCAATGGATAGCGGCTTTGAATCTACGGAGATTTTGCAATTCAGATATTATCACTAGGGTGCACACAGTAGGTGTGACTCTTTGCCTACAGTACAAACGTCTATATGATCACTGAGTGAATTTGGACTTGTTTTTTTTTCGACACAATAATCAGTAAGAAGTTAGTGCTGATGATGTTGTCCAGAAAGACAACTAAAGCTTCATGATTAAACCACTCAGTTCAGAGAAGGCAACATAACTTATGTGGTAAACAACAACCTACTATGATTTTTGGTAGAGAAGAACAAAGATTATCGACCAGTTCATGGAATATTATGTTCAAAAAACTTAGTATGCTTCTTGTGAACAAATCTTATAGATTACAAGGAAACACTGGTATTTTCGATAAATGTCATGAAAAAAAATAATCAATAACTGGAATATTTTGATAACGAATTTATGCAACCTAATAACCAAAAACTTTCGTCAATCCCAAGGAACAGAGAACCAATTCATGGAAGGAGAGCAGGTAGCACAGAATCAGTAACGTATGAAGTACACCACACACATTATGCATACACACGGATTCAATTCAACTGCTTAACAGGATGACAATATTTCAGCGAAATAGGTTGTGTCTGGTAAATAGACATAAACAACTAGTCAGTTTATTTTAAATAGATTTGGAAGACTTGGTGGTGGCTAACAGCGAAATCCAAGACGCACGTTTCGTTCTATTTGGGACTATTCAATTGGACATACCAATAGCGTAGGGAGTGATGGTGTTCCCATTGAGACTCCAACCCCATGCCGATCGCTTCAAAGACCAAAGTATCACCCATCGAGTCAGTGTAAACACCATCACTCATTAGGGCGTAAGTGAACCTAGCTGACAAGTCCAAAGTAGGATGAAACGCAGTCTCCTGGATTTTTCCACTAGCCACCAACAAGCAAATAACAACATAACGATTATTCAGGGAACATCGAGGGATTTGTATACGAGCCTAAATTCCAACAAAGTTCGATTAATTCGATACAATATAACTACAGGAAATTACGAGCACCAATAAATAAAAATATTGAAGGAGATTGAAGATTTTGTACAGAATTAAAAGCGTATATCCATAGAATAAGCATTAAGAAAAAATTAAATTATAACGACAGTGTAACTAATCTACGCAGTACGCGTCCGTGTACTAGACTATTAGCGACAATTACCAGGCGAAGGTTGATGAACCTATATAGATTGCTCAGACCTAACAGGATTCGAACCTAGGATCCATTGCTTAAAAATCAAGTGCTTAAGTGAATGAACCTAAGCTACATATGAAGCCGGTAAGTAGCTAGAAGACGTAATGTAAGATTTTACTTTATAATATGATATATTCTGACAATAAATTTACCTTATACCCCTCCTTTCATCGATTTACTAACTTTAATAGGCTAAAAAGACCAACTGAAGTTAAATACGATCAATTTCTTCATTGATGTGAAAGATTCTCTCAAAGTATATACAGTTTAAAATATACACCCATTATCATCAAGTTAACAAGGAAGTAGTAATTGATACAAAAGAGATAGCATAGATGTGATGATAAACAGAACCAACGGTAGTAGATGACGACAGTCTATAAGGTTAACTATTTATGCATAATGAATGAGAAGAGAATAGAAACCAAAAGGAGGGTGGGAACAGTAACGTTTCAAAACCAGAAAAGATAACGAAATGGGTGGCATAATTAATCAAGGTAACTTTAATTTTTATGATTTGCCTTTAAGTTTTTGTTACTTATTGTGAACAGCTAGTGTGTTGTAATGTGTGTTTTTGTGATTTTCGCTTACGATTTACCTATTTCAAAATCTCTGTACATTTTCATTCATAAACCGATTTATAGACAGAAATCTGTTGACGCTTCCTATCATGTTCACAAAATCTCACCACCATTTTAGTCACGTTCCTCGCCTCCAAAGTATCCATTTAATAGTAGCCAACCTTAGTAACTTTATTCACTCCTAATAGTTCTGATTTTCTTACACTGCTGTTATTTTTCATCAACAACAATACTGTCCTGGTAACCTAAAGGAAGTGAGTATGTATGTTTGGTTGTATACATTATACATGTTTAGGTTGTGTTATTATTAGCTGAATGTCATCTTCGAAGTAAACGAAATACTTCCATTATAAGGAGTTAAGAATCGAAACAGGACAGACAGACAGAACAATGTAAAATCTCACACAGAAGTGCATTGTTTCAGTTCAAGCTATCACACTTCACAATAGCATGCAAGGAACAAGTGGATAGAACCCAAGAACCTTATAGTGAACGGAAGATACACCTTAACACATCAACAAGAAATTCATAGTTGACTGATGGCCTCCAGAGTTAATAGATAGTTTATCTAAGATAACAAGATTTACCACAAGGCCTGATACGTGTACTGGTTGCACACCACTGAGCAGGTGAATCAATAAAACAAAAAATAGTAATTTCTTATTAAGGTTATTTTCTCTCTCTTTTTCCAGATATTTTCTTATTTACTTCAACAGTATTTTATTTTTGAGCTGTTGTAAAGTTTATCAACTTAAACTGATCCATTTTTATATTTTTGTCTGTTATAAACTTGTAATACTTACCAAAAAATTGTGTTACAAGACTAGAACATTCAAAATTGGCTATAAGTGTATACTTTTCAGAATATATATATATATATATATATATATATATATATATATATATATATATATATATATATATATATCTGAGCTAATTTAAATCCAATAAATAATAAAGTGAGGAGTGACTCTGAAGACTACACTAGGAAATGTAATTAGGTTCACCCAGTTATGAAAAAAACTTTCTAATCAAAATACATAAACTTAGTTGATTATTTCAGCAGTTACTAGAGAGTGGCCTTTAGAGTCAACTTCAAATGAGTCGAAAATGTCAAAGATTAGAAGTTCACCTATTTTTCCTTCTTCTCGTTCTCTCAACTCGTTTTAACACTTGTTGGTTAACAACAACATACATAGACTTTCAGTTTACTGACCAGAATAATACAATTTATTTATCTACTCAACAACCTTGAACATCATAATACAGTAGGCAATGAGCCACACTTACTATGTGTGGGGGTTAATGATACTACCTGGCTACCAAAACCTTAGCATATAGAGTGATCTTTAAATCTGTAATCCGTTGATTGGAAATCAACCACCTAAACAAATGGAGCCACAGCTCGACATTTACTGATTCATTTGTTCCACTACACAGTATAGTTCACTTTGCCGTGCTGCTGAGGAGTGCCATTCAAGGAGGAAACAGATATCCAGTGCTCCCAGGTTTTCAATGGTTCTCCAATTGATGTCAGTCCGTGATGAATACTACTTCACTTTAGTTCGTTAATTACCTTCAGTAAATAAAATAAGCGATAGTCAACCATCAGGTCGAAAAAATACCGTGAATACAGAGACAGGAGGAAACAGCAGTTACCTGATGCGACACACTCATTCTCCGGAGACTGACTTATTTCCACCTATGTGCATAAGCTAATCTAAATTTATTTTGGTATGATTACATAAAATGTTTATACTTGTACAAAGTACATGATTAAATTTTTGTCAAATATGACATAGTTTGAATATTCGGACTGGTTTTCCGGACACAATAAAAATATATATGAATTGTGCAAACAGTTTTCCCAGGATACAGTTCAATTTGATCGATGGGCTTAAAAGGTCACTATGGCTACTATCAGTTACAAAGGTCACCATAAGATAATCGAGGGGTGTATGTAACCGAATTACATACAACTGATTAGTGCTAACCTAAAATAGCTTTGTCACAGTATTCCACTGTAACATTGAATGGTGATGGCTTGAGTTTCTGAGAGATAGAAAAAGTTCCCCAAAGGTTGCAGACCATCTTTAAGTGGTGAGTACCTGAGGTGCTAAACAAAAGTTCACAACTTTCTGATAAAAAGCTACCAGTGTATGCCGAGAAAATATATTGTAGTTTTGTCATGATTTTAGAGACAATCGCAGAGGAAAAGGAAGAAAGAATGAATGAATGAACACGATGCAATAAAATACATAGGAATAATTTGTTACAATCATCACCACTGTTGTTATAATTAGTAGTGTGATTTAATACAAGTCAGTGAGTACACCAAGCAATAAAATTAGTGAAGATGCAGGCAAAATAAACAACTCACCTTGACAATTCATGTCTACATCAGAGATATAGCAACAAATCAAATACAAGTTTATCGCACCAACTAAAATAAATCTATGAGCATACTACTACACATTATGCTGTGAACAGAAAAGCGCCAAACATCATCTGGCACAAAAATATATGAAGAATCGAAGGGATGAGTACTTCATTTTGCACTGTACTAAACCTTACAGACTGATAGATAAACCTAATACTTATCAAGCGAATAAGGTTGCACTTACTGGCAATAACCAGAACATCCATATAGTTGCGGTGTCTGTTAAGCCATGTAAAATATTGTAGCAGTTTAAGGGAACTTTAACAGTGTATATACAATAACAAAACAGAATATTACTTATTTAATTAAACCCAGTTGGTGGGCAAAGGTAATAACATCCAAGATAATCAAAAGACAATCAATGAACATTAACGGCATATATCGTAAAAAACAGTTGAAGATAAAGAAGTGTTCTTGCCTTTGCCTAAAACACTCCAATTGTATATCTGTATTACGAAGAATTTCACATGATCAAGGGTGAAAAACTGTATCAAGTTAATAATTTGATTTTATGTCAACGGTAAAGTGATAGTCAAATGAAAATTGTACCTTATGTTAAAGATGAATAAAGAATATGTACATCCTTATGTTCACTTTCAGAAACATTGAGTATAACGCATAGCAGCAGTTCATCTACTTGAGTAAGATCACCTTCACATACTACATCGACAGATACTTGACAAAAAGGATAAAGACGTTAAAGGTAAAAAGATATAGAAAAAAAGACTAAGAAACGTGACTGATCTGTTATCCGGTTGCAGACTCACAGTGCTTTATGAAACTGAAGAAAATACCCGTGTAACTACTGTTTTTATCATTATCAGAGTATCAGTTAACAAGCTTGATCTATCTTCCCTCTCAGCATCTTGCTCTCAATTTAGTGTATTACTGATGAAATAGTGCATATTCAGATTGTATTATACCATCATGCAGACGATTTTACTAGCCCAGTGTTTAATACAGCCGGCATGCTACATCGATGTAGGGCAGCAGTAAGGCAAATTTCATTTCGTACAAGTCCGCAATATCACATGTTCCACGCACCTTACAATAATGACAATGTCAGTGATTACAATTCATACTCCTATGCTACACGTTAAGGCCTGATGACAATAACCGACTGTTGAGCACAGTTTGAACACAAGAGGTATTAACAAATCAACTAAATCAAATGACAGTCATAGTTATCTAAACAGAAATTTTGATTCCACGCCAAACAATCCTGATTCATTTCAGGTTGATGTTCACTAATGACCGACATCAGCTGGAGATATTGGAAATCTGGGGGCACTGGACATCCTATAATGAAACTCATCAGCAGTGCGCACCTATAACCCCGCCAAGGATCGAACCCAGCACATTACCATTGAGTCATTGGGTCGGAATTTTATTATATTATTAGTCCCTTGGGTTCCTAGTGGAACATAGGGCTTCAGCAGCACGCCTCCAGTGACCTCTGTTCTCTGAGATCTTTTGAACCTGGTCCCACGACAGCCCAGAAGCTCTCATTTCCTCCTCGCATGACCTCCTCCATGTCACCCTCGGACGTCCAACTCGTCGCTTCCCATGGGGATTCCACTCGAGGGCCTGACGCGTGATGTCCTCAGTCGGCCTTCTCAGTGCATGGCCAATCCATCTCCACTTCTTCCTGCATATTTGTTGCGTGATAGGTTCTTGGTTGGTTCGTTCCCAGAGTTCCTTGTTGCTTATTTTTTCTGGCCATCTGATCTTCAGCAGCGAGCGTAAGCAGTTGTTGATGAATGTCTGTAGTTTATTGGAAATGCCTTTCGTGACGCGCCAAGTCTCTGAGCCATACAAGAGCACTGACTTGACGTTGGTGTTGAAAATCCGTATCTTGTTCCGCATGCTGAGTGCAGAAGATCTCCACACTGGTTTCAGGCTAATGAACGCCTGTCTTGCTTTTCCGATTCTGACTTTGACGTCCTCGTCCGTCCCGCCTGTAGTTGAAACAGTGCTTCCTAGATAAGTGAAGGAGGTTACTTCCTTCAAGTTTCTCCCGTTGACGGTGATTGGAGTTTGTTGTTGTTGTTGATGGTGGTGGTGCGGTATCTTCATCACTTCTGTCTTCTCTATATTCACCTGAAGTCCCGTCTTCGCTGCCTCTTCTGTCAACTTGTTAGTTTTTGCCTGCAGATCTTCAAGTTTATGTGACATTAGGCATAAGTCATCGGCGAAATCCAAGTCTTCTAGGTTCTTTTCCGTCGTCCAGTGTATCCCCCTCTTCTCGCTGCCTACTGTTTGCTGCATGATCCAGTCCACCACAATAAGGAATATCATGGGGGATAGTAGGCAACCTTGTTTCACTCCTGTCTTCACTTCAAAGGCATCACTGAGCTTCCCATTGTGGATTACTTGGCATGTGGCATCTTCATATAGTTGTTGAATGAGGCGGATAAAGGTTTGCGGTACTCCGTAGTATTGAAGCAGTTTCCAAATTACTTCTCGGTCGACGCTGTCAAAGGCCTTCTCAAAGTCGATGAAGTTGAGGTAGAGAGCTGATTGCCATTCTACGCTCTGTTCTATGATGATACGAAGCGTTGCAATTTGGTCTGCACATGATTTGTACTTCCTGAAGCCTGCCTGTTCCGGTCGCAGTTTTGAATCCAGTGCGTCTTTAAGCCTCTCCAGGATGATGCGGCTTAATATTTTACTTGGGGTGGACAGGAGAGTGATTCCGCGCCAGTTCTTGCAAGCACTGAGGTCTCCCTTCTTCGGCAGTTTGACAAGGTAACCCTTCTTCCAATCGTCAGGTACCTTCTCTTCCCTCCACACCTTCTGCAATAGTGGTGTGAGCATGTCCGCTGTTGTCTCTGCATCTGTTCTCAGTGCTTCTGGCGGTATTCCATCTGGTCCTGCTGCTTTCCCGCATTTCAGTAGCTTTATGGCGTTCAGGACTTCCATTTTCGTTGGGGGATTTATGTTCACTTGTAATTCAGCGGCTGCAGGTGGTATTTCTGGACGAAGTGCAGGTGGTGGTCGATTCAAGAGCTTCTTGAAGTGGTCGGCCCATCGTTTCCTCTGTTTCTCTTCTTTTGTAATTAAATTTCCTTCTTCATCTTTTATTGGTTTCATCTGTGTTGGTCTCTTCCCTGATAGCAACCTGGTTATTTGATACAATGTCGTCAGGTCTCTCTTACCTGCAGCCTGTTCTGCTTCACTTGCCAGTGTGTCGTAGAAGTGTCTTTTGTCTTTGCGTGCACTCTTCTTCACTTCTTTATCCAGTGTTTTATACATTGTGCTCAGTTCCTCTTGTCGTTGAGCATCCTTGCACTGGTTTATCTTCTGCTTCACCATCCTCCTCTCCTCTATCAGCTTCCAGGTATCCGTCGAGATCCATTCCTTGTCTTCCTTCTTCCTTCCTAATACTGTTGTGCAGGTTTCTTTCCACATAGCTTTCAAAGACTTCCAGTGTTCTTCCACACAGGTTTCTTCAGGGATGTCCCTCGATGTCTCCCATTTTGTCTTGATGGCTGCCTTGAAGATCTCCTTTGTAGTTTCATCCTTCAGTTTCCGAGTGTTGTACTTGAATTGAGGTCTATCACCAGCTTCCTTGAAGGCTTTTAACTTGATTTGGAAGGTTCCTTGCACTAGATAGTGGTCTGAACCTACATCTGCTCCTCTTCTTGACCTTGTGTTAAGTAGACTGCGTCTCCATTTTCTTGAGATTGAGATAAAGTCGATTTGATTTTTAGTGTGTCCATCTGGTGAAATCCATGTCGCTTTGTGGATATCCTTGTGCCTGAACACACTGCCTCCAATCACCAAATCGTTGAATGCACAGAATTCTGCAAACAATTCTCCATTCTCATTCATTTCACCTAGCGCCTCTCGACCCATGGTTAGTTCTCTTCCCGTGTTGTCCCCTCCCAGTTTGGCATTCATGTCGCCCATTAGAATTTTGATATCGCCAACTGACGTCTTGTCCAGTGTTGATTGAAGTTGTCTGTAGAAATCCTCCTTTTTCTCTTGCTCTGCATTATTTGTAGGTGCATAACATTGTATGATTGTGACCTTTCTTCCTTTTGAGTTGAATCTTGCTGTCATGATCCTGGAGGAGATTGGTTCCCACTGCATGAGAGCCTTCGATGCTCTTGAGGACATCATGATAGCCACTCCCTCAGTGTGCTCGTGGTTGGCGTCTGGGTGACCGGAGTAGATTATTGATTCTCCAGTTGACAGTTTGGAGAGTCCACTCCCATTCCATCTGCTTTCGCAAATCCCAAGCACTTCGATGTTATACCTTCTCATCTCCTTTGCAATCTGGGCTGCCTTACTGGGTTCAAACATCGTGCGGACATTCCATGTCCCCACGTTTACTTTCGCTTTCATCGAGAGAAGACACATCGGCCAATTGGCTTCCCGAAGGCTTTCACCAACTGGCGTCATTTCGCCTCTCCGATTCCAGCGGGGAATAAGTTTGTTTTCATTTTTTATATTTTGTTTGTGCTTTGAAGTTTCTTTAGCGGTTAGATTTGTTTTACGGGGTAGGGTTGCTAGCCCTATGCCCAACCTTCCCTCTTTACCCGGGCTTAGGACCGGCTAGTAACTAGTAAACTAGTTAACCAGGCGAGGTTGGGTCGGAATTTAGTGGTCCATATTTTCAACTTCTGTCAGTTCATGACATAATGCAACCTTTATCTAATTCCATTGCTGAGTATCTGTTCTCATATCCGACTTGGTTGGCCCCACGACTTCGTATTAGAATTTCGGGAACCACCTCTTGTAGCAAGTCACCACTAGAACTATTCAACTTGGAGGTGATTTGTGCCGGCTTCGGTTCCTTGTGAAGTTGTAGTTGCGTACTGCTAAGGAGTCCCATACTACGAAGAAACAGCTATCCAATGTTCCCACGTTTCAAATGTTTCTCAAACTTATGTCAGTCCATGGTGAATACCAACTTGAACTGAATAAACAAATCCCTACAAACCACTAAATTCAATAGTCCTTATTCAGTTGTTATACTTCAGGCTGCTAATGAATGTCATTCGATGAAAGAGTTAAATAGCTGAAATATTAAACAGACTGATGAAAAGCAATAATGAGAAGCCAACAAAAGTCCAATTCTTGAACAAGAGTATTTTGAAGTATGGTTGGTATTCGATTCCAAACAGTGGATCACGAGTTCGAATCTCAAGCCATCTATCAAGGTTTGAGCAACCAGATAATGCAGCTAAGTGTGGCTTATTCCCTACTACATGAACGCGTGCATGGTTGCTGAATTATAGTTTCAATTTATGCGCTAGAAACTAACCAAGAATATGTAGCTTCTTCAAAGTAAAAATTTGTATTGAACGTATACAAAAAGGCGCTAAAGGAAAGGAGCTTTTGGACGACATTTATTGACTAAGGTACATATTGCCTTCACTATTTGCATCATCGGGTAAGTTAGTGTCTTGACAAGTAACAGTAAAATATGACGTATAGAGCTTTTATCGGCTACAAGGAAGTATCATTTCTATCCTTTTTTTATAGACAGAAATTTTCGAGTTCTGTAACTATTTTCAATATATATAGTAATGATGGATAGTGGCTAGCAGTGGAATCCAGGATGAGCATTTCGTCCTTTTTGGGACTTATCAGCTGGATGTACCTGCCTCCCAGTGATGTTGTTTTCACCGCGATTCGAACCCGGGACGGACTGGTCCAACCAACGAAAGCATAATACAAGTAATAACATTATTTTCAATATAACGGAAAAAGAAGGAAAAAACAAAATGATATGGACACAATTTTATGCTAATCAATTAACTGTTTCCGTAATTAATGCGTTAACTGATAAATTATGCTATTCATTCAGGTTGTGTAGTACATATTCTGTTTGAAGGTTAATGATACTGAACAGACTTTCTAGGGGATAGCAAACTCATGTATTACTTGTGTTACTTGAGAACGCAGATTACTACATTAGACACCAACAAATTAACATATTAAAAAAAAATGACTAAATTTACCTTGGATTTCATTAAAGGATAGTAGGATTTAAAAGGACCGCGAAATATTATGAAGTACCATTAAAAGTATTACGCCTTATTTTGAATGTTTTCACAGTACAAGCTGATGATCCGTAACACTTTCGCTCACAAACTATTGCTCATAATATCAATGAACAATATATTTAATGTCAGTTAAAATTGTGATGTACAAGTATATATAGTGTCATAGGTTGTGTCAATTAATAGTCATACATTTCATATTGACTGTTCACAAACTAAATATACACTTTTCTCTTTGTTATTCACATTCGGAAAATTTGAAACAAACCAGTAGTACTATATTTGCAACTATGATTCAGTTAATCTACGCTTAACTTTCTACGATTCGATAATGAGATAGAATCCTGTTCCACCTAGTTCGACTTCCATATACGAATACAATCATTCATCTACGCCTAACAGGTTAGGCGTTCGGGACTGGTCAACACAAAAAATATACTTTCAACTAATCAGCTATAGTAGTATTTAAGCTACAATGAGGTTTTACTCAACAGGTAATGTGAGTAGAAAAAGCATACAGATTTGTATATACCCAGATATATACTTTTTTATACTGTTCGCAATATAAATGTAGAAAAAGGTGCATATTACCAGGAAAAAAAAGACAAGTATACATGCAAAACATGATCATATTAAAGTGACCTTGTGTAAACTAACTTTGAAAAATATTGCGAAAGTAAGCTAAACAGAAAGTTTATCATATTGGTGGCTAAAAATTTATTTATTTGTTTGTTTGTTTGTTATCAACACAATAGTTAAATCGATAACAATGAAAACTTCGTATTTAAGGATAGAGCACATTTTAAATGTTTGCCAAGTGATAATTAGATAGATATAATTAGTGCTGGTGATTCATTGTATGCGCTAATAGCTCATAGGCTGAATAAGCACAATTAAATAATGTGTTTACACATAAGTGAGCAAATAGCACATGTACAAGATGTCTCATTAATGCTTCATTGTAAATAATGAACAGATTGTTTTATGTAGGCTTAAATAGGTCACTTGGTTGGTAATAGTCTAGTCTGACTAGACAATGATTGTTTATATATTTTAATTGGAAATTTTTTTCCTGTTAACAGTATATGCATTAGCAATCAATTGAAACTTTTGAAACACCTACACTTAAGGTGAACACTTAAAAGAATGCGTTACTCACTGGATTCAACGATAAACGTTGCTTAACATTCACCCATATATAAGCGTTACATATTCACACAAGCAATGATGTGTACGCGAACAATGTGACAGTAGGTTTACTGCTGCGCATAGATGCATGTTATTAATCTTTGAACTATATCTTACAAACAATGATGGTGTCTACAGTTGTAGTTGAAAAGAAAGTTATGCTACACATGAATAAGCGTACTATTTTACTACACTGTATGCATATAACAATCCCCTATTATGAAACGTTAAACTGTCTTGATTCTACATACAACTTCAGTATCGTTTAAAATTACTCATCAATAGGTTGAATGATCACATTAACCTTTTTGTATTTGAAGTATTCAGAAAAATTATTTAAAGAAATCATTTCTCTGATGTGTAGCCAATAGACGTTCAATTTTACATTATCATATATCAATTATGCCAACGGTGAACTCTATCAACTTCGCCTTGACTGTATGAAATAGTACATCTTCAGAGAATAAATTTTATATTCATTTCTAATAAATAACTTAAATATACTAGTAGTGTGTTCTACTTATATATCAGCTGTAGAAAAGTAAAATATTTTGTGAAATATCTCCTGAATACAAATTTTAAAACATATATATTCATACAAATCAATACTAAATGGTGTAGTGGATAACGCGCTAGCGTTTGAAGCGATCGCTCCCGAGTCCGAGTCCCGGTGGGAACAACATCACTCATTGGGAAGCAGGTACATCCAACTGATGAGTCCCAAATAGGACGAAATGCGCATCCTGGATTCCACTGCCAGCCACCGCCTATCATTACCAAACATAGTTAAAAGACAGGCCATATCGAGGCATCTGCATAGGAGCCCATATGCCAACAGAGGCTGATCAATTCGGTCTTATCAACGACGGTGTAATACAAGCAATAATACTAAAATGAACAAATTGATTGAGGTTAATATTTTTCTTATCATTTAGTTGACCTATTATTTATTAATTACATGTAGTTATAAATCTGATTCATTTGAACAACTATATGATATATAAAGGTGTTTGTTTTCTCAAATCTGCTAAATAAAATCATTATTTTCACTATCAAAATAAATGAATGTGTAAAGTGTATGTGTAAATCATCACTTTTAAACACTACACAGATATGTAAGCGATGAATTTCAGCTATTAGAATTTTAGTCTAATGACATTTGTGAAAATATTATCACTATAATTGGCTATAAAAGAGAACTACATACATTTACAAAAAGTTAAGCTTTAAAACATTCTTGGTATTAATTGTTACGACACTATTGAAAGAATTTTGAGGGAGTTGTAGGGATTTGGAAATATTTCAAGTTATCATTCATTGTTGACTGACATCAGTTGAAGGAACAAAGGAAACCTGGGAGCACTGGACAGCTGTTTCGTCCTAGTATGGGACTCCTCAGTAGTGCGCACCCACTACCCACCCTCCCCGGATCGAATCCACGACCCTCAGGTTCCGCAGCCAGCACGTTACCATTGAGTCCCATACTAGGACGAAACAGCTATCCAGTGCTCCCAGATTTCCTTTGTTCCTCCAACTGATGTCAGTCTACGATGAATAACAACTTGAAATATTTCCAAATCCCCACAACTCTCTCAAAATTCAATTGAACTGGTGCTCATTGGTGACTAGCTTCGAGAGGTATTCCCGAAGTTCCAGTCGTGACCGATTGGGGCAAAGCCTGATGGTCGTGAGGACAGTTACTCAACGATGACATTGGGTGGCGGTTTGCGCTATATCGTGAGCTAACAGAAGTTGGAAATATGGAGCATTGGATTCTGACCCAGTGGCTCAATGGTAACGCGCTGGCCGCGGAACCTGAAGGTCGCGGGTTCGATCCCTGCTGGTGGGATCGTGGGTGCGCACTACTGAGGAGTCCCATACTAGGACGAAACAGCTGTTCAGTACTCCCAGGTTTCCTTTGTTCCTCCAACTAATGTCAGTCCACAATGAATAACAACCTGAAATATTGAAAGAATTCCCAACTTGTCTTTCTGTATGTTAATAAAGAGAACAGATAATGACTTACCAGGGACCAATGATTCCTGTTCCAGTTTATCCAAAGGAATTATATCTAGATCTACACGACGAAGACTTAGATAACGAGTTCCATGCATCTGCTTCAATAACTTTTTAAGGAAACCGACATAATCTGAAGAAAAATTATATAATGTAAACAACATGCATATAAACATATCTTCTGAAATTCCATAACACATATGCAAACAGTAAAATAGATAAGTTATTATGCAATAAATCAGCTTACTATCACCAGTCTTAAAACCTCACGTTATAGAATTACTGAAAGATACTACTGAGAAAACATCTTTTTAAAATATTCGCATACATTATTGCTGTTGATAAGATTTATTGTGAGTACAATATGACTTGAAAAATGACCGACAGGATAACGTGCAAGAATGTTAAGCACACTCGAAAGATAATATCATAGAAATTCACAATTTCCAGCATTTCCAAGACCCTTGTTACAAGTAATGGGTAGGTAATGGCTCAACGGTTTCATAGAGGATTCTTGTTAATGTCAGTCGGTGATGAAGACTACCTTGAAAACAAACAAATAAGAAATATAATACAACTCTGTAACCCGGTTATGGGCTGTGAAAACCACATTCAACGTTCAGTCGTTTATTATCAACTATCCCAGGAATAAGTGGTTACAAGATGGGTTGGACCTAGACCCCACTTCTTGAATATAAAAATACTTCTTTAGATATCATAGCTAGCAATTTTCCGTCATTGATAATATCTAAACTACACACTATACCTGTCGCACAAGGAGTGTCTTTCGTGACCTTATGGGTAATGCTCCGGCTTTCAAGGCGATCGGTCCTGGCCTCGAGTCTTAGTGGGAACACCATCGCTCCCTAGGAGGCATATACAACAAGCCGATGAATCCCAAAAAGGATGAAAAGAGCATTCTGGTTTCCACTCCTAGTCAATATTCAACATCAATATAAAAATAAAAATAGGTATACTTCTGATACGCCATTTTATTCCAAAATATCGTTTATGTTTGTTAACCAGTTTATATGTAGGACAGCAGATATATGCTGGATATAAGTGATGAAGGCATATCGCCTCACGCCGAACGGGAAATTATTAAAACTAATATTTTTAAAAGTTCTGAAATAATTCCCTTATTGATGCAGTTTCACAAAAACATTAAATTTAGCTGGAAACATACTCATCCAACTCCATTATACATGAGATACATACATATACATGATATAGCAGACATCATTTCAACATTTACTGAGTGATCAATATCCGTCCCTATATTATACAGTAGTCCCCTAAGATGATCTCGTCATTGAAGAGCAGTCAAAGTGCAGGATGCATTCACACACCTTGATAACATTTACGTCGAGGTCTGTGGTGTGACTCGGAGATATGAGTCTAAACAGGAAACTGCACAGTATCTTAAAAATGATTTAGAAGCAATGCCATTTCTTACTGTAAATTTTAGACTTAGAATACCTCTATGAATATGACCAACAATGTGAGTATTTTATTATTATACCCCAAGCCTGATGTTTCCCATTTGAAGTGATAATTATATCACATATGGTTATTATACATAATAGTTGCTCAGATAACTAAGACCTGAAAATATCTAACAGGTAAACACATAAAAATTAGTGCCTGACATAAACTGCTTATCAGATTAAAATTGCCATATTTCATGATTGCACAAATTAACCTTAGTAGGGTAAATGCAAGTGGATTGTGGACAACAAGCCGACTTGTGAATCGCTTGAAGAGTTCTCACAAAATATTAAAAAAGACTATCATACAAGGCAGGACATAATTATAAGCATAACTTTGCATGCCATCATCCTCTCAACTACGAAACCCAGTATGAATGCCTAACAAACAACTAATAGACGAGGAGCAAAGTCAAGTTAAATTAGTGATCTTTAGATCTTCCGAAAAATTGCACTTTTGAATAAGCAACAGAAATTATTTTAACTCACCCCTCGGAAATGAACTGGGATCAATGAGTTCCTGGAAAAAGTCATATGACTCATCCAAACGATCAAATTGTTGAGCACCTTTACTGAACCAAAACTTTAGACGACGATTTTCCTGAAAATATACAGGTATTGAAGTTAGCAAAAGGGGGGAAAGCTTATTCACAACATGCTAAAAGCCTTACACATAATAAAGACTAAAATAGAAGTGGAATACATAGCTGATAACTGGGTTGCTACAAACTATTTATAAATTAAGGAAATAATAAGTCAATATAATGAACGGATGCAAGCAAGCTCAACATCACTTAATGATGGTGCATAACTCATAACTCTAAGACTTTTCGTCAATAAGAATTTCATGCTGAGGAATACATTTTCAAAGCAGAGTCAATATATTTGAACTATAAACATTTGTCTACAAGTTTGACAGCGACTAAATCCTAAAATAATAGTTAATTCTGTGTGAAAAAAGTGTTCATCAGATCCCTCCTGAAATTCTCTCACTTTGAGACACACGAATTCGGCTATATCACAAATTCAACGTTCACCACAAGTAGTACCAAATGATGGATATTGGCTGGTAGTAGAACTTAGAGCACGCATTTTCTCCTGTTCCGAACTCTTCAGCTGGATGTATGCGCCTCCCGGTGAGTGATGTTGGTCCTACCGGGACTCGAGCCAGAGTTACAACAGCAACTCCCTGAGCGATAGGTATGGTTTAATGTTATAGCTTGACGAAATGTGTGTCCTCAATTCCACTGCTAGCCATGATTCGTTATTAGTTTCAAACTTAAATTATCGGCAATATCGAGGCATTTGCAGAGTAACCCATATCCTACATTGGCCGACCAATTTGTTCCAATCAATAACAGCAAGCCACATTCTATAACAATAGCCAACACCTATTCATCATACACTCCAATGAAGGTGCACTTAGTGCATGAGAAGCCAACTGATTCATGACATTTTATGTCAGTGAAGTTTAGTGTTATCAACATGAATACAATAATACCACCAATAATAATAACAATGTTCAGGTCATAAGGCTTCATATGCGTATTTCTTTCAGTGGCGTATTCAAGACAGTTTCATCAAAAATAAGGCAACTCTCTCTTGTTGACATCATTACTACCTGTTAATGTAATGATACTGTCAGGAGATAATGGGAAAATCACGTGAAAGGTGTGTGGTGATTTTCTCGACAAACAACAAAGCAAGTTTAGTCCCATAAGGACAAAATACGATTTTGACTTTGCTTTATCGGAAAACTCAAGGAATAATATGTATGCTTCAATAACAGCTATAGTGTTACACACTTGGTAGGAATATATGCTGAATACACATATAACGAAGAAATATGACCACAACAATAAGTCGGAATACTTGCAATGCCCAATACACTTGTTATCAAGATCGAAATGCCCTGATCTGATCAATGTGACGACAGTCTCCTCGTAAGGTCATACTTTACATAGCTTATATTAAGGATGTTCATCGTCTTTATATGGTGAATATCTTTAACACCGGTAACTAGATAAGCCTGGTTGACGAAAAATGATTTACTTTCAGAATTCAGAAACCTTATTTTCAAAGTAATAATGCATATACGCTTTAGAATTATAGATGAACTAATGTTCGAGATTGTATTTGGTACTAAATACAGAGGGAATACAATCCCTGACTTTGTCTTATTGTGATAAAAAAATTGGATTTTAAGTTCAATGTGTATAAGTGTGATTTGAGTAAGTGAAGACTGATATAGGTTGACACTAGACAGATTAACCGACATTTTTCCTTTTCAGATGAACACAATAGTTTTTCGGTTGGTCAATGTCATAGGGAAAGCTGAAAATAATTCCTTTCGGTGTACAATTTTCCCAGCTGAAGTTTATCCTGATCACCTAAGGAAATTTAAAGTATCCGTTAGCAACCAGCAGAAATTCTTTTTAGCACTACATGGTTTGATTAGATAATGAAATTATGTGCTATTGGCAATTGAAATTTTTTGTAGAGATATGACGTTAATGTGATAAACGAAAAGTAGAATTCTTCGGTGACAACTGACTACATATTGTTGTGTATTTACTGTTGATCTAATGTTCTAGATAATCGATCGGATGGTATGATATTCCAAGTTGTAGAAGTAGGTAATCCCATATAAAAGTACGAAGTAATAGACAAAATAACATCTTCGGAAACCCACTGACACTGTTACTGAGATATTACCCGCAAGTGATAGCAGTAATAAAGACTAAAGCGTTAAGGGATTCTTTGTTTCAAATAGATAAATACTGGGGTCAATAGAAGTACTAGTCTTGATGCTTTTTAAAGGGGAATGAAGTGGTTAGCAGTTACAGATAGGTTTAGAACTAGCTAACGTGATCTTCCTGATGTGGCCAGTATTATTGCATTTGTGTAACATGGACAATTGTGAGTCAAATCCCAACCGTCCAATAGCCCTCTAAATATTTCGTATACATAAGAATTAATAATAATAAATACAGTAACTATGAACCTCTGAGATTCGTCCCTGTTCGGCTAGTTTTTCAATGGAGTTTTTTTTCAATGACAACATGAGTCTCGCACTTTAGTGTGAGAGAGAGTTCGTATTTCGTATGCCTTAACACCGAACTTGAACTCAGTACGAGTTGCGTAAACTGCTAAGCAAAACATCTCCATAAACAGATTTTCGTCACTAGCATTAACAACAGAAACTGATTGTTTACTTATTTTAACTGAAAAGGTGCTCTTACAATGCTTTCATACCATTTTATATCTTGACACTAGATATAGTTTGTATTTGTGTAAGTCAATCTTCTATTCAGCGCCTAATATTTGCCACATTATTCAGTCAAATCTTGAGCATAGTTCATATAAATTACATTTTATATCTTCTCTAAAATTTTAACAGCCAATTACATCAATAACTCACAAGGGACTTTTCACTGGATATCTGACTACTTTGAAAACAGGATGGACAGAAACTTTTTCAGTTTTCAGAACCTTTTTCTACCCCATTAACTAATCAATCGGTTAGTCAGCTTAATGATTGGCCTTGTTTGTGAGTTTATAGTAATTAGGGGAGACTTGGATGCTGATCGACGTATGAGGGTTGTTGAAAGTTAAGTTATTCCTGCAGTAGAAGTTTACCTATACTTGAGGCACTTGAAAGAGAAAGAGGGATGGTTTTATTAAACACAATCTTAGGAATACCTGCTCAAGCGTTTTAAAGGCCTTTGATCAACATTGAATTGAGTTGCATCTGTGCTTGAAGGAATACCTCAACCATAAGTACCCGGAGTTCATGGGATAAAGAGTAGGTCACTTTTAAGCACAACCTCACTCCTCCCTCAGATAAAGGGAAGACAGTATCACCTTGAAATGCTGATCATTCTCAAGAAACAACCTACTACTGTCATACCCCGTGCAGAAAGAAAAACGACTCCTCCCTGGAAAAACCATCACGTAGAAATTTATTATTTTTAGCTTTACCGTTACCCGATATACCTTTTTAGCAAGATATGACCTCAACGAACAATGACCAAAGCCAAGATAGCCCATTTTTCAACCGATAGCTGCTACCTTTACGCTGTGGTTGCGTTTCCATACTAAAATGAGCCAAAATCTATGCTAGTGGAACAGCTGTTCTCTTGAGGTCCTACTACACTAACAAGGTCTTTTGGATAGGAACAACAGAAATGGTTACAGTTACAGTGCAAATAGTTACGTCATGATGGAAGTCCAAAGCTGAAGTCACACTGTTGGCTGAATCTGATGTGATAGCAGTAAGTCAATCCCCGCGTATGACTAGTAGTACTATGCTGGCCCCGAAATAGCACTTTCTCCTCTACCATGTAGTATTTTAAAGCCAGACATACAGGTTTTCCAGCTGAATCCAAATCAATCAAAACTAGATCCCGAATTTCTCAGTCATCAAGACTCACGCAGATGTCCCACGAGATCTGTGGTCTAGCATCCCTTACTAATCCAATTTTTCAAATACTTTTAGAAAAATTAGTTTTCCACGATGTAGACAGTCACGAAATATCAACCGTCATCACAAATTTATCATTTCTCAAGTTTTCCCAGAGTGAATAACTGAATGTCCCTTTTCCGTCACTGTAATACCCGTGCCAGACCGCTCCGTTACGATAGCAGCTTTCTATGGGGTTGTTGTGGGCTACGTGTGTGCATAAGTTATTGATACCATGACTAATTATAACCAAAGGGCTGTGTGTGACAGGTCTCAAGCAGATGTCCGATGGGCTCTGTGGTCACACAAATCTCTTTCAGGTACTTTAAGAAGAAATAGCTTTCCACCGTGTGGGCAGCCGGGAAGTGTCAACCGCCCTCACAACTCTGTCAGCACCCACGTTTCCTCAACTGCTATCAACCTTCCCCATCATTACCTTCTAATCTTCCTTCACGTCTCTCAACTAACGATACTACATCATCTTCAATTTCTCCTAGCTCTATATCCTTCGACAACGATCTGAGTCCACAAAACAGCATCACTGGTCTCCTTAAACCACGCTCCAAATTACATATTGGAGCCTTCAATGTCTGCACCCTCCGTCAAATTGGTCAACAGGCTTCGTTGGCAAAGACTCTAGCAACTCGGGGCATGCATGTGTGCTGTGTTTGTGAGACACGCATACAGGACTTAAGTGCGGTTATTCACCTGACCTCTCCCGACCAATCTGGTGAATCCACAAAATTCACCCTTCGGGTTTCTGGAGATTCGATAGCTAGCTCTCGTGGTCTTGCAGGTGTAGGTATAGCATTAAGCACTGGGGCAGAAAACTCACTACTAGACTGGATCCCAGTTGATAGTCGCCTCTGCGCTATGAGGCTGAACGGCACAGTGAGAATTAAAAGGAATAGTGAGACTCACTGTTGTCTCTTTGTAATCTCTGCTTACGCACCCACTGACTGTAGTTCGAATGAAGTGAAGGACTAGTTCTACCGTAAACTGCCTAGCCTCCTCTCGAAAGCCAAACGTCTGGACGTAGTGGTTGTTGCAAGTGACTTCAATGCATAGGTAGGTAGACTGAGTGAGGCAGAAAGACACTTAGGTGGCACTTTCGAAGTCTTGGCTGAACGCACAGGCAACGGTGGTCGCCTACTACAACTGTGCTCAGATAACCGCCCATTTTTAGCCTATAAATTTAAGGGCATAAAGAAAGACACTGTCTGATGTGGCGTCCACCGAGTTCAACTCAGCGATGAGCACAGATAGATCACATTGCTATTAGTCATCGCTGGAGAGGATCGGTGGAAGACTGTCGCTCCTTCTGGAGTACGTATTTGGACAGCGATCATGTGTTGGTCCGAGCACGTATATGTCTGTGTCTCAATGGACGTAAGAAAAATTTGGCAACAAAACCACTACGAGAGCTGGTGGACAACGAAAACACCAAAGCCGTGTTCAGTGAGAAGTTGGCTAGGCAGTTATCGGAACAAAAGACTGTCACTCATCCAGAAGAAGCTTGGTGCCATCTTCAGTCTGCTGTAAAAGCAGCGTTGAAGACTGTAGGCGACTCCAAATAATGGCTAAAAAGAGCCATTGGATATCGGCAGCTTCTTCCGAACTAATAGATGCACGTGAACGCATCCCTGCAGGCTCTGATTACAATGAAGAGCGAGCGCAACTTAAAAGTAGACTGATGAAAGGTCTAGGCAACGATCGCGAACAGTGGTGGGCAGCGAAGGCTAAAGAGATGGAAAAGGCGGCGGCGATTGGTAACAGTAGACAGTTATTTAGACTTATTAAGGAGACTGAGGGGAAAACGTCAACTGCGGTTAGTGAGACCATAGCGAAGAAGGACGGATCTGCTATTCACTCACAGGGGAGACGACTGGGACGATAGGCAGAACACTTCAAGGAGCAGTTTAACTGGCCTCTAGCCACCACCGCGTTGCCCGCTATCCAGCCGGATCCTCAATGGGACATAGAGATAGGTCCCCCAACACTAGCAGAAGTCGAAAAAGCGGTAGGTAACCTGAAACGAGGAAGGGCGGCAGGACCAGATGGACTACTTGCTGAGGTGTACAAGAATGGTGGTGGAGTGCTCTTAGTCAGGTTAACGGAAGTGTTAGCTAGTATATGGGAATCAAATACGATCCCCTCTGACTGGTCTAAGTCACTCATTATCCCAGTCTTCAAGAAAGGCGAGAAGTCCTCTTGTGATAACCACAGAGGAATCAGCCTGACGAACATAGTGTCCAAGATCCTAGGTTCTACAATTCTTCGACGTCTCAGTGGAGCTCGGGAACATCAAGCCCGAGAAAACCAGGCAGGTTTCAGAACTGGCCACGGGTGTATCGACCAAGTATTCACGCTACTCCAGGTTCTGGAACACAGACACGCCTAACGACGCCCAACACTAGCTGTGGTGGCAATCGACTCCGATCGAGAAGTCTTATGGCAATGTCTCTCACTGAAATGCGTGCCGAGTAAGTACATCACCTTATTGAAAGCTCTCTACTCGAACACTTGTGGGTATGTTAGAGCGTATGGTGAGTTGTCCAGGGAGCTATACTCATCGAGTAGTGTCCGTCAAGGATGCCCACTATCTCTATTCTTATTCAATTTTATCATGGATATTCTTATGGAGGTCTCCCTCTCATCACCTGACTACACAGACATTGACGTAATCGGTGGAGAATTTCCGTCGGACCTAGAATATGAAGATGACATAGTCCTGTTAAGTGAAGACGCTGACAAGATGCAGAGTCTTCTGAACACTTTCAATGGGAATTTGAGAATGTTTGGGATGAGTTTCTCACCACCCAAATACAAATTGTTGCTCCACGATTGGTCTTCAACAGTGCCCCACCGACGCTAACAATACAGAGTGAAGTGACTGAGTGTGTTGACCACTTCACTTACCTGGGAAGTAGGATCAACCCCAACCTGGTGGCTCAGTGGCCGATGAAATCTCTGCACGGATACACAAGGGTCGGCTGGCTTTTGCCAATTTATGCCACCTATGGCGCCGCCGTGATATCCGATTGTCTATTAAGGGTGGTGTGTACTGCATAGCAGTTAGGTCTGTTCTACTGTATAGCTGTGAAACATGGCCACTGAAGGTGGAAGATATAAGAAGGCTTCAAGTGTTTGACCAACGTTGCCTTCGTAGTATAGGACGTATTCCGTGGTGTCACCATGTGAGTAACGCAGAAGTCAGGTATAGAGTTTTAGGGAGTAGACGTAAATCAGTTGACGAAGTTATGAACCTTCATCGACTGAAATGGTTGGGACACGTGTTACGTATGCCTAGCCACCGATTGCCTCGTCACACAATGTTGGCTGAAGTAGGCCCAGGCTGCAAAAAGGCCCGAAGTGGACAGACTAAAAATGGCACCAATGTATGAAGTCTCTGACTGTTGGTTTGAGCCATGTAGGGCGATGCAGACTAGGTGGTTGGGGTCGGCGGGACAAGAGGAACCAGTGATTGGAGACTAGGTGATAGGGCTCAGAACCGATGTCAGTGACGCAATGTATACAGACATTATCCTCATTTTAACGACGCTATACCCAGTCTCACCATTTTGTCATTCTTCCTTTCTTTCTTCTCATACTTTATATTTCTTTTGACTGCATTCTCTTATCTTCATCCTTCACCTCACTACCTTTCTACTTGATGTGCTGTACTGAGCTGTGGCAACTCGGAGTGTTACGCTGTAATGCCTGGTCCTATGTTGATATTGATGATGATGATACCATGACTTTACATGCACCTTAGCACGTAAAAAAGAGTTCATACCACAATGAAAATGACCAACAGTACTTACAGCATGAGTCTCTGATGTTCTGTTATTGAACATAACGCAAGTAAACTGCAGTTGCATCTCTGGTATATCCATAGGTTCCTTTTTCAATTTGCACTCTTTGTTTACTATAATACCAGAATGTTGTCCACCAGCAATATGATGGACCAAACTTTCATCCAGATTTTTGGTGCGTTCAAAACGTATAATTTTCATGTTATCCAAAGAAAACGGCGTCATCACAACATATGAGTGTGCCATGCTCCTACAAATTTCTCTTGATTTACTTGTAGGAATGCAAAAGGTTGCAACTGTCGACAAAAAACCAGAAGCAATGATATAAAGTAGAATGCTAAGATTAGATAACAAACTAAGGAGTAAAGACAAAAGAATAATCGCAACTTAGTGGTAATATACAGTCTTGAATTACATGAGAAACACTTGATACCTGATTGCTAACACCACTTTTTAACAGTTAAAATCACAAAAGGTAAAATCCGATACGAGCACTATCTAGTGGTTAAGTATAGTAAAATAAACAATAAAATAATATGAAGCAAACAAAATCAGACTACCCGGCTATCATGTATAGGAACAATACAACTAATTCGAAACTAACATTATTCTGATAACCATATCCATGAAAAAATTTGTGCATTGTGGAGAGGACCAATTTATTGCAAATATACTTGTAATGAATCTATTTTGATAAGTTCGAACGTGACATGAGCACCACGGGATGCATCAAATATGAAAGAAACCAGTCATGAACAACAGCTGTAAGACATTCAACGGGTGAAAAAACACAATTGGTGTTTAGACATGCGTGTTGAAAACACTAAAGGCGGCTGATAAAACCTATAGGCCAGCAGTATAAAACGAAAATCAGTGGATAAGCCCAGCTAGTAAAAATTGTACACTTTACATCGTATGCAGTCTCGGAAGCCATTTTTCGCCAAAGATGAAACTAACAGACAGAGAAAAGGACAAAATCAAAACAAGATCTTGCATTAAAGTCCATCAGTACAACTTGCTGGACACCACAGTAGCATGCAAAAACCAAACGGACAGGAAAGACATATCAAAGTAGTAAAGGAGTATGGGAGAAGAAACACTGAAGATAAAGGTCAGTGAAAATATTCAAGCTATAGAAGACGTCAAGGGTGGTAAAACAGTTGCCAAAAATGGTAGTTTACAAAGTCATGTTAGAGATAAAAACGGAAACCCTCAGATACGAATAAGGAGCAGTCGACAAAGAAAAATATTTGAGCACAACAGTGATAAGCGTAGGACGTCGATAAAAAAAAACTCCCAAAAATGGTAAAAACAAGAACGTTAGCCGAATGACCTGAACTTAAGGTTATCATAGGGCTTTTGATGTGACTTAAACAGTATACATCAAATTTACCTAGAGCATTGGGAAAATGACTCCTTTTCCCGGTAACATTGACTACATCTAGTCACCCAAATAAATTTGAATTAGACACATCTGAGCCACATCAGTCGTTGAAGGTTCACAACCTCAACAAGTGACTTGCCTTTCTTGCCTGTTATCCTTCGCTTAACCTCTACGCTGTTTACACGACGCCCTAACGGTATAAGTAATGCTACGAAAACACACAGGAACCTGAAATCTCTTGATACCTGCTTTTAACAACTATGTCTTCAGCTCCACATCCTGATATGGTGATGGGGCTTGCGCATCACAATGATCCAACGAGCAACACTTACTGGAACGCTTGTTTGTTCGAGGTCATACCATACCAGAAAGGTTCGTTGGATAGTGGTAAGACAAAAAGCGGTTATCGTCATAGTGTAAACTGCCACGGGGTTCAAGAGAAAGGCTGTAATATTGAGTGAGCAAGGCGTGATGGTGATAAAGTGTCACTGAAATCCCCAGCAGTACCATCCGTATGCTGTATTCCCTACGTGAAGAAAGGGGCTAAAAAAGGTTGGCTTCCAGAAAACCACAATCTCCTCTGTCCTGTGATATTTTGGCTCTAACGATGTAGGCTTTTTGGACCTGGCATTATCATAACCAAACCTTATCCAAACACCCGAAAAATCCGTGTGACCGGTCTCAAGCAGATGTCCCACGGACTCTGAGGTCATGCAAATCTGCTTTTCAGATACCTTGCAGAAACAACTTCAACGGCGTGGGTAGCCGGTACGTACGGACCACCTGTAAGCTTCCAACACTACATACCCAACTAACCACAGCTAACCTTACTTTTTTTTGTCTCCGTCCTGGAACCAGCAATACGCCACTTACGACTTCCGCGGACTTTCACTCTGTAACCATCGCTAACGATCCAAACCGTAAGAACACTTTTAACAGTTTCATAAAACTGCACTTTTGACTTCTAATCGGAGCTTTCAACATCTGAACCCTATACCACATTGGATAACAGATGTTGTGCCAAAACTCTGAGAATTCGAGTCATGGACACATACTATTTTTAAAAGACATATACAAGGCTCATGAGTGACCATTCACCCGGCCTAAACTGGCTAGTGCGGTGAATCTGTTGCTTACTCTGGATTATTCATGAGATTCTTAGCACGTGTATTAACGCTAAATTATCCAAGTATAGAGACGCTGAGACTCTTCCCCTAAAGTAATATCGACAGATTGATTGCCAAAGAACTCCACGAAGAAACTAGGCACTAACATATGGAAACAGCGGCATCTATAGCATGCATACTACGCAAATACATCCCCTCACAAGCTATCCCCGAATTTCAACAATGACTACCAATCACTAGTCCACATGCTTCCGGGATTTATGACGAAACGTTACATAAACATCGTGTCAACAACTTAATTGCAGTTAAAAAGATATAAAACTCACAGAAAAGCGGTTCGCTAGACCTGAGTGACAAGTTTACTTGCATTTAAATACCACAGGAGACTTAAGTTAGTATTTCAGCACGAGGATTTAAAACAGTACTTAGAGCTTCTGTACACATTCACATGAATGGAGACTGAAATATATAACCTCATTTTTTTACAGAGTACCAGTCGTTTCATACGGCTGTTTTTACTTATACGATCTTTCTTAACTGAATATAAGAAAAGTAAGGTTAGGATTCTGATGTAACACTCACACCAGAATGTTTCGACGAAGCATGCTTTTGCTATGTTTTACATGACGGTCAAATACATAAAATCTTTTTACCACAAACCCCGACCAGACTCACCAAACCACGAGTTTGTGCCAAAATTTTAAAATTCTTCCTGACCTTGACGTAGCACAGCTAAAGAGGCAAAACATTCAAACGCCTCCAAATTGTTTGTAACGGAACCAAAGAAATCATCATTTAACCAGCTTCAATGTATAACACATGGAATCATAATTTTTTAACTTCATTAGTTTGTATGCCAATCAAAAGAAAATACGGTAGTAAAAATAGAGAGAGCAAGTTAGATGTGATTCAACTGACGCCATCATACTTATATATATATATATATATATATATATATATTATTAGTCCCTTGGGTTCCTAGTGGAACATAGGGCTTCAGCAGCACGCCTCCAGTGACCTCTGTTCTCTGAGATCTTTTGAACCTGGTCACATGACAGCCCAGAAGCTCTCATTTCCTGCTAGCACGACCTCCTCCATGTCACCCTCGGACGTCCAACTCGTCGCTTCCCATGGGGATTCCACTCGAAGGCCTGACGCGTGATGTCCTCCGTCGGCCTTCTCAGTGCATGGCCAATCCATCTCCACTTCTTCCTGCATATTTGTTGCGTGATAGGTTCTTGGTTGGTTCGTTCCCAGAGTTCCTTGTTGCTTATTCTTTCTGGCAATCCATCTGATCTTCAGTAGCGAGCGTAATCAGTTATTGATGAATGTCTGTAGTTTGTTGGAAATGCCTTTCGTGACGCGCCAAGTCTCTGAGCCATACAAGAGCACTGACTTGACGTTGGTATTGAAAATCCGTATCTTGTTCCGCATGCTGAGTGCAGAAGATCTCCACACTGGTTTCAGGCTAATGAACACCTGTCTTGCTTTTCTGATTCTGACTTTGACATCCTCGTCTGTCCCGCCTGTAGTTGAAACAGTGCTTCCTAGATAAGTGAAGGAGGTTACTTCCTTTAAGTTTCTCCCGTTGACGGTGATTGGAGTTTGTTGTTGTTGTTGTTGATGGTGGTGGTGGTGCGGTATCTTCATCACTTCTGTCTTCTCTATATTCACCTGAAGTCCCGTCCTCGCTGCCTCTTCTATCAACTTGTTAGTTTTTGCCTGCAGATCTTCAAGTTTATGTGACATTAGGCATAAGTCATCGGCGAAATCCAAGTCTTCTAGGTTCTTTTCCGTCGTTCAGTGTATCCCCCTCTTCTCGCTGCCTACTGTTTGCTGCATGATCCAGTCCACCACAATCAAGAATATCATGGGGGATAGTAGGCAACCTTGTTTCACTCCTGTCTTCACTTCAAAGGCATCACTGAGCTTCCCATTGTGGATTACTTGGCATGTAGCATCTTCATATAGTTGTTGAATGAGGCGGATAAAGGTTTGCGGTACTCCGTAGTATTGAAGCAGTTTCCAAATTACTTCTCGGTCGACGCTGTCAAAGGCCTTCTCAAAGTCGATGAAGTTGAGGTGGAGAGGTGATTGCCATTCTATGCTCTGATCTATGATGATACGAAGCGTTGCAATTTGGTCTGCACATGATTTGTACTTCCTGAAGCCTGCCTGTTCCGGTCGCAGTTTTGAATCCAGTGCATCCCTTAGCCTCTCCAGGATGATGCGGCTTAATATTTTACTTGGGGTGGACAGTAGAGTGATTCCGCGCCAGTTCTTGCAAGCACTGAGGTCTCCCTTCTTCGGGAGTTTGACAAGGTAACCCTTCTTCCAATCGTCAGGTACCTTCTCTTCCTTCCACACCTTCTGCAATAGTGGTGTGAGCATGGAAGCTGTTGTCTCTGCATCTGTTTTCAGTGCTTCTGGCGGTATTCCATCTGGTCCTGCTGCTTTCCCGCATTTCAGTAGCTTTATGGCGTTCAGGACTTCCATTTTCGTTGGGGGATTTATGTTCACTTGTAGTTCAGCGGCTGCAGGTGGTATTTCTGGACGAAGTGCAGGTGGTGGTCGATTCAAGAGCTTCTTGAAGTGGTCGGCCCATCGTTTCCTCTGTTTCTCTTCTTTCGTAATTAAATTTCCTTCTTCATCTTTTATTGGTTTCATCTGTGTTGGTCTCTTCCCTGATAGCAACCTGGTTATTTGATACAATGTCGTCAGGTCTCTGTCTCTCCTACCTGCAGCCTGTTCTGCTTCACTTGCCAGTGTTTCGTAGAAGTGTCTTTTGTCTTTCCGTGCACTCTTCTTCACTTCTTTGTCCAGTGTTTTATACATTGTGCTCAGTTCCTCTTGTCGTTGAGCATCCTTGCACTGGTTTATCTTCTGCTTCACCATCCTCCTCTCCTCTATCAGCTTCCAGGTATCCGTCGAGATCCATTCCTTGTATTCCACCTTCTTCCTTCCTAATACTGTTGTGCAGGTTTCTTTCCACATAGCTTTCAAAGACTTCCAGTGTTCTTCCACACAGGTTTCTTCAGGGATGTTGCTCGATGTCTCCCATTTTGTCTTGATGGCTGCCTTGAAGATCTCCTTTGTAGTTTCATCCTTCAGTTTCCGAGTGTTGTACTTGAATTGAGGTCTATCACCAGCTTCCTTGAAGGCTCTTAACTTGATTTGGAAGATTCCTTGCACTAGATAGTGGTCTGAACCTACATCTGCTCCTCTTCTTGACCTTGTGTTAAGTAGACTGCGTCTCCATTTTCTTGAGATTGAGATAAAGTCGATTTGATTTTTAGTGTGTCCATCTGGTGAAGTCCATGTCGCTTTGTGGATATCCTTGTGCCTGAACACACTGCCTCCAATCACCAAATCGTTGAATGCGCAGAATTCTGCAAACAATTCTCCATTCTCATTCATTTCACCTAGTGCCTCTCGACCCATGGTTAGTTCTCTTCCCGTGTTGTCCCCTCCCAGTTTGGCATTCATGTCGCCCATCAGAATTTTGATATCGCCAACTGACGTCTTGTCCAGTGTTGATTGAAGTTGTCTGTAGAAATCCTCCTTTTTCTCTTGCTCTGCATTATTTGTAGGTGCATAACATTGTATGATTGTGACCTTTCTTCCTTTTGAGTTGAATCTTGCTGTCATGATCCTGGAGGAGATTGGTTCCCACTGCATGAGAGCCTTCGATGCTCTTGAGGACATCATGATAGCCACTCCCTCAGTGTGCTCGTGGTTGGCGTCTGGGTGACCGGAGTAGATTATTGATTCTCCAGTTGACAGTTTGGAGAGTCCACTCCCATTCCATCTGCTTTCGCAAATCCCAAGCACTTCGATGTTATACCTTCTCATCTCTTTTGCAATCTGGGCTGCCTTACTGGGTTCAAACATCGTGCGGACATTCCATGTCCCCATCCTTACTTTCGCTTTCATCGAGAGAAGACACATCGGCCAATTGGCTTCCCGAAGGCTTTCACCAACTGGCGTCATTTCGCCTCTCCGATTCCAGCGGGGAATAAGTTTGTTTTCATTTTTTTTATATTTTGTTTGTGCTTTGAAGTTTCTTTAGCGGTTAGATTTGTTTTACGGGGTAGGGTTGCTAGCCCTATGCCCAACCTTCCCTCTTTACCCGGGCTTAGGACCGGCTAGTAACTAGTAAACTAGTTAACCAGGCGAGGTTACCATCATACTTAGGATGGACCTAATTAAGTGTCTAAGTAATTCGGACGAAGGAGACTGGATCGTTTCTGTAAAAAGAGAATTTCAATCAGTGACAACTCTTGGCGAGCAGCAGTTACACCGGCTATCCCACCTGAGAATTTCTATGCTTAAATCCTCTATGTCCTCGATGGTCGAAGTTGCCACTAGGGTTGAATTGATAAAAAAGTGGAAGTCTGACGCGTGATGTCCTCCGTCGGCCTTCTCAGTGCATGGCCAATCCATCTCCACTTCTTCCTGCATATTTGTTGCGTGATAGGTTCTTGGTTGGTTCGTTCCCAGAGTTCCTTGTTGCTTATTCTTTCTGGCAATCCATCTGATCTTCAGTAGCGAGCGTAATCAGTTATTGATGAATGTCTGTAGTTTGTTGGAAATGCCTTTCGTGACGCGCCAAGTCTCTGAGCCATACAAGAGCACTGACTTGACGTTGGTATTGAAAATCCGTATCTTGTTCCGCATGCTGAGTGCAGAAGATCTCCACACTGGTTTCAGGCTAATGAACACCTGTCTTGCTTTTCTGATTCTGACTTTGACATCCTCGTCTGTCCCGCCTGTAGTTGAAACAGTGCTTCCTAGATAAGTGAAGGAGGTTACTTCCTTTAAGTTTCTCCCGTTGACGGTGATTGGAGTTTGTTGTTGTTGTTGTTGATGGTGGTGGTGGTGCGGTATCTTCATCACTTCTGTCTTCTCTATATTCACCTGAAGTCCCGTCCTCGCTGCCTCTTCTATCAACTTGTTAGTTTTTGCCTGCAGATCTTCAAGTTTATGTGACATTAGGCATAAGTCATCGGCGAAATCCAAGTCTTCTAGGTTCTTTTCCGTCGTCCAGTGTATCCCCCTCTTCTCGCTGCCTACTGTTTGCTGCATGATCCAGTCCACCACAATCAAGAATATCATGGGGGATAGTAGGCAACCTTGTTTCACTCCTGTCTTCACTTCAAAGGCATCACTGAGCTTCCCATTGTGGATTACTTGGCATGTAGCATCTTCATATAGTTGTTGAATGAGGCGGATAAAGGTTTGCGGTACTCCGTAGTATTGAAGCAGTTTCCAAATTACTTCTCGGTCGACGCTGTCAAAGGCCTTCTCAAAGTCGATGAAGTTGAGGTGGAGAGGTGATTGCCATTCTATGCTCTGATCTATGATGATACGAAGCGTTGCAATTTGGTCTGCACATGATTTGTACTTCCTGAAGCCTGCCTGTTCCGGTCGCAGTTTTGAATCCAGTGCATCCCTTAGCCTCTCCAGGATGATGCGGCTTAATATTTTACTTGGGGTGGACAGTAGAGTGATTCCGCGCCAGTTCTTGCAAGCACTGAGGTCTCCCTTCTTCGGGAGTTTGACAAGGTAACCCTTCTTCCAATCGTCAGGTACCTTCTCTTCCTTCCACACCTTCTGCAATAGTGGTGTGAGCATGGAAGCTGTTGTCTCTGCATCTGTTTTCAGTGCTTCTGGCGGTATTCCATCTGGTCCTGCTGCTTTCCCGCATTTCAGTAGCTTTATGGCGTTCAGGACTTCCATTTTCGTTGGGGGATTTATG